ACACACACACACACACACACACACACACACACACACACACACACACAGGGACAAACAGTGAGGACGACTAACGGGGTGACAGCACTCACCTGGGTACTGCCTGAAGAAACCTTTGGCGCTCCCAAAGTACTGCCAGATCAGTGTTGGGTCTCTCTCAAAATTATCTACAAATACTTTATTCAGAGCCTCGGACCAGTAAACTCCGTTCACTATGTCAGGATCTGAGGAGGAGGAGGAGGGCAAAGACACAGAGATGGGAGAGAAACAAGTAAATTAAGTGGTGATAATAGTAATCATCCTGGTCACCATTACCGAGTGCACAGTTGACCTTTGTCCCTTATTGACCCCCCTGAAGGAGCTACAATGCCTGTGACTATATCATCCCCTCCCCTCCTCCTGCTGGACGAGCCTCCCTTTGTGCTGCGAACAGAGAGTTATGGGGAGTCCATTATAGCCAAACAAAAGCAGCCCTGGCGTTACTCAGGGAGAGGTGACACACACATTAAAAAACAAGAAGCGACTGAACAGCTAGCGTATGACAAACATCTTTCCCATTCCCCCCCCCCCCCCTCTCTTCACTCTTTTCAGTCTCTTGAGAGGTCTGCAGTTGCTTTCCGTATTATGTCTGGACTGTCATCGATCGCCCAACTCCACTTCTCCAAAATGGGACACTGATGCAGCTTCAGCTACCATTTCTCTCTTTCACCACTTACACTTTCCTCGGCCCTCTTCTCCTCCCCTCTCATCAGCTCACTGTAGGTAAATAACACTCACGTAATAAGACCTTTTGCAGGCCACAGGCAGAGCTCTCACCTTTGTTGTACATGTTGGTGGGCACCTGCACCACACTGAGGCTCAGGTTGACTGACAGGTTATTGAAATGGTCGTTGGGCTCCAGAACAAACTCTCCTCCGAGCTCTACGTTATTGCCCTCCTCGTCCACTTCATTGATCAGTACGGCGTTAAAGTACTCATACTGAGGAAAAGAGTGAATACGGAAAAAGTTAAATGTAGTAACTGTGAAAGCAATGTTGATATTAATACTAAAGGATAGGTTCACATATTTACGAATCTATCTTATAACAATACTCACATATGGATATTGAAAACTTTTTGTAATCATTCCTCTTGTAAATACTGGCCATTAAGAGATCCCTGCCTAAAGGGATTCCAATGAAAGTGATGGGGAAGGGCACAAAAAGTGCTCTCTAAAGTTTAGTCAAAGCCAAAGTCTGATCAGTCTTAAGTTAGTCTGAGTATCCTCCAAAGTTACAGCCCTATTAGTATAAATTAATTATTTGTGTGTCCCCTGACATGTTGTGGTTGAGCTTTAATAAACACAAAGATTGTATCAGGGATTGAGTTTGTCCCCCATCTCTTCACAGTATGGACAGGAAGAACAATTATAGCAACCAAACACTGTAACATGCATATGTTTGAACGTAAATATTGTTTTATAAGACAGACTGAACTTTAAGGGGTTAAATTCCCCTCGCACAGCTTGCCTTTCCCACACAGATTATTCATCATATGCACAGTAACGTCTGCTTATGTCTACATCTGTCTACATCTGTCCTCCAAGCATTAATAGCTCAAAATAAAGCTGAAAGGAAGTGTCTCAATGAAACAGAAACATTAGACAGTAAAACATTTTCTATTGCATTTATTTGGAAGAAGTTTTTGAACAAAATTATCTAAATTATTTCTGCCAAATACACACTCACTACTTGGGAGTAATTTGGGGTTTAGTGTCTCGCTTAAGGACGCTTGGACACGGGCAGTAATATATAAATCTGCTCCACCACTTAAGCTACAGCGACTCATAATTAATAGACAACTTTTAATGATAAAAGGTATGTGTGTGAAGATTTTTTTGTGGATGTCTAATTTCGATTTTAAATGTTCCCAGTGTGTCAAACTGTACATTAACTACAGCAGTTGCAATTGTCACTGAGGTCTAAGAAGGAACTGGACGTGCAAAGAGGACTTCATGACTGCCAGTGAAAAGTCTGGCCTCCCTAAAGTGAAACCCAACAGTTTGTCTGTCCTGTCCTTCACTGCCTGCTGTTGCAGAAGAAAGACTACCTTATCCTGTCTGAGTGGCCTCTCTGTGGCCCTTATTGTGAGAGAGAGAGAGAGAGAGAGAGAGAGAGAGAGAGAGAGAGAGAGAG